GATCTTTATTGTGAGCTATGGCTAAGTTGTTAGTTGTTAAAAGTTAGTTAGACGTGACTCCTGTGGGTGGCATACTTCCCTTTTCTTTTTATCTCATTTCAGGAATTGCTCCCAGTACCTGGAATTGTTCTTGCGCAAGCAGGTAAGAAGCATATAGCTAAGAGTATAATACTCAGTATTTAACCTACTAATAAGGATCCTGATTGTAATGTTGGTAAAAATGGCCAGCCCTGACAGTAGTTGATCCACTGGCATTCTACTGCATTTTATGGGATTATGTCATAATAATATATCATTACAGCTCCTTGTGTTATGAGCTAATGGCAGTCTTTCATCACAAAATTAATTACGCCAAAAGCAATTAATCAGCAAGTCACGCAAAATGATCATACTCTATTAGAAAACATGCGTTACGGAGTGTTATTGCCCCGAGGACCATGGATTATGGGCGTTTCCTACAGGTCCTTTTTGCTTAGGCCCTTACTTAAACTGGCAATGTATAAAGCACTTCTGTCCTATCTAGGAATCCTACAAATAGGGTAATATATAATTTAAATCAACAGCAAGAAAAAGACAATTATTTGTCAACTACAACCTCTAAAATTATATTTTTGTTCCAGAGGAAGGACAGGAAGTACTGGTGGCCAAAAGACAAGTGAACACTGAAGAAGAGGAGAAGGAAGAAGATGAAGAAGAAGAGAGAAAGAGGGAACATAGAGAAGAAGAGGAGAAGGAACATACCGGTAGTAAACTTGAAAGGAAAAGGAAAAAGAAGGACAGAAGAACAACAGCAAAAAGAAAAAAGGAAAAGAAGGACAGTTGTTAAAAAAGGATTTTAAAGGGACCCTGGTCAGCCGCACTTTTGTTTTTGTTTACCTTTGGATTTTCAATTTTTCAGAAACTGATGTACAAGTTGTTACTTTTATGCAGTAATAGTTATGATTTGAAATTAAAAGTAAACCCTTTAACTCCAGATCAAATTTGTTATTCTATTCACTGTCAACCATACAATTCTTGTAATGTTAGTTCAGAGAATTTAGTATTGGATCTACTAATTATCCCCCAATTGATCTTTTTCTTTATGCTCATCACTTATCTTGTTACTATCGTAAGGAGAAATTCTGTCTTGGTCACTCATGGGAGTTATAGGGTTAGTGTTGCACATGCAGTATGGCCTGGTTTACTTGTGTCAGCTATTACTATTTCTTGTATGTTGTGATATACGCTCCTCGTTTGAAGGACTTCGTCCTCTCTCTTGGAGGTTTTGTTGTTGTTGTTGTTTTGTTTTTATTTTTTTGAGGAAAAAATCTCACTTTGAGGAAACTGTTCACATTGAGACTTAGGGGTGTTAAGCTTCCTGAAAATTAGCCACAAATACCATGTAGTCAAAGGAGCACTTTAGTTCTTTAACTGTTTATCACACTTAATCTGTCTCTTATCCCCTTTACTTGTATGGATCATATTACATTTTCCTTTACTCTGCATTAACAGATATTAATAATGGTAATTGAACTGAGTGGAGTGCAATTTGGGCTGAAATCATACGCGTGATTTCATCCATTTTGAAATCGCCCAAGTACAGGACTTGGTCAGTTCAATGCAGTACTGAGCTGGTTTGAAATAAAATTCATCCATTTTTGGGGGGAAAAGGTAAGAGTTTTGGAAACAAAAGTTGCAAAATTTGCCTCATGATACTCATTGTCTCTCATTTTCCTGCAATTTGATTGGTTGTTTTCAGTAGACCTAGAAATCTGATTGGTTGTTTTGTTTTTAGTGAAGCCTCCTCACTGGCTGGGAAAAAGATGTGATTTAAAGCAAAAAATGGTGTGATTTAAGAATAAATCGCACCAATTAGAGCCAATCAGATTACAGGGACTAACAGTGATTTCAAAATGGGTGTAATAAATAATGGTGATTGAACTGAGCAGAGTGCAATTTGGGCTGAAATCATACACGTGATTTCAAAATCGAATGAGTGCGAAGCGCAAGTTCGATTTGAAATCACTAGTATGATTTCAGACCAAAATTGCACGACACGAGGTTCAATCACCACTCTATTGCATCCATTTTTGAAATCGCCCAAATACAGGACTTGGTCAGTTCAAACATTTTATTGATGCAGTACTGAGCGGGTCTGAAATTAAGTTCATCCACTTTTTGGGGAGGAAAAGTAAGAGTTTTGGAAACAAAAGATGCAAAATTTGCCACATCATACTCTGTCTTTCATTTTCCTGCAATTTGATCAGTTACTTTAAACTAGCCTTGAAATCTGATTGGTCGTTTCGTTTTTAGTGTAGCCTCCCCATTGCCTGGGAAAAAGGTGCGATTTAAGGCAAAAAATGGTGCAATTCGTGAATAAATCACATCAATTAGAGCCAATCAGATTACAGGCACCACCAGTGATTTCAAAATGGGTGTAATAAAGCCTAAAACAAGTAATGAATACAGTTATACATTTCTTTTAAATGGCACGTATGGTTATGTGTAACATAAGAAGTGCCCTCATTGTAAGAGTTTTATCCCAGGGTGTTCTATTTGTTCAATCAATGTGTTAGATTTAACCTCTCAATCAAAACAATTTTACAATCAGATACGATTTGTGACTCTATCTTTGGTCCAAAAAAAGGAAGTTTCATTTTGTCTGTAGCATTCTGCTCAAGAATAACCATAGTAAATTTTTACAGCCATACTTACAAATTCAAACTTATTCTAATGTTTGCAATTTTTTTTTAATTTGAATACATTGATGACCAGAGCATATTATGAAAATATACAAAGAAAATAAAACCTTTTGAAGTAAATAATAATTCAAAGATAACTTTCTTTTACATGGACACAAAAGAGACCATATATTGGAATAGGAAAATTTGGAAGACTTTCACAAGAGTATCAAAATTTAAGCTTACATCAAACTCAATACCTTACTTACAGTCATGCCTACTTTGTTGAAAAGGTGGAATTAGCTTCCTTGAGTGATAGCTCCGTGATTCAATAGAGCAGGGACCCTTTGTCTTAATTGTTGCTTTGCACTGAACAATAAGAACATTTAGAAGTATATTATACAGTAAATATACACATTTTATGGCAACAACTTAAAACTTTTATATATTTTGATGATGAACAAGAAGCACAGAAACCAAAAAAAAGCCACTGATGTACATGTTATTAGTGTTATGGGGAACTTGTTATGATTTGGAAATAAAAGTTAATGTTGCACATGCAATATTGAAGACTTCCAAAAGGGAGCAAAAATTTATGCCCATGTTTACTTTACTGAAAAGTGTGGAATAAGGGTCCTTGGGTGAGAGCGCAGTGATTAAATAGAGCAGAGACCCTTTGACTAATTCTTGCCATGCACTGAACAGAAAGCAAAGTTAGAAGTTCAATATATATATATATATATATATATATATATATATAGGAAGTCTGCAAGTCGATTTTCGCGTGGAACAGTGCTCAATACGTTGAAGCAGAGCAGAATAAATATTATGAGAGGAAAAAAGGACGTAACTACATTTCCCGACAAGCCTGTTTCGTGAATCGCTTCACTCTTCAGGGGTTTAATTAAACATTAAAACATTAAACATTAAAAACATTAAACATTAAAACATTAAAACATTAAACATTAAACCCCTGAAGAGTGAAGCGATTCACGAAACAGGCTTGTCGGGAAATGTAGTTACGTCCTTTTTTCCTCTCATAATATTTATATATATATATATATAGATACACTTATGGCAACAAGTTAACACTTGTTTATATTTTTGATGATGACCAATAAGCACGGAACCCAAAAAATTCAGTAACTGATGTATACGTTAGTGTTATGCAGTACTAGTTATCATTTGAAATTAAAAGTTAATGTTGCACATGCAGTATGGCCTGGTTTACTTGTGTCAACTATTACTGTTTCTCGTATGTAATGATATACGCTCCCCGTGTGAAGGACTTTGTTCTCTCTCTTGAACATTTTCTTGTTGTTGTTGGGTTTTTTTTTTAGGAAAATTCTAATTTTAAAGAAACTGTTCAACTTGAGACTTATGGGTGTTAAGCTCACTGAAGATTAACCACACATACCATGTAATTAAAGGAGCACTTTAGTTCCTTAACTGTTTATCAAACTGAATTTAAGACTCTCATCCTCTCCGCTTCTTTGGGTCGTACTACATTTTCCTTTGCTCTGCATTGACCGATGTTAAGCCTAGTACAAGTACCTAAAACAATTGAATACAGTAAATAATATAAGCTTAACCGCTTTGTACCTGCGATGTACACTCCATTTTCGGCGGGTAAAACCCTTCCGGGACCCTGGGCCCTCTCGAATAAGTAAATTACGTATGCCGCCTGGTGCATTTCTTCCTTCCTTCCTTTCTCTCTATTTTTTTCTCCCTACTTACCTCTCCTCTGTCCTTTTTTTCTTTTTTTTTTTCTCGATACGAGCCTCGATTAAAGAAACGAGGCTCGATTGGAAAATGGAGGCTCGATTGAAAAATGGAGGCTCGATTGGAAAATCGAGGCTCGATTGCGTAATCGAGCCTCGTTTGTCGCAGAGTGGCAAAACGAGGTATCGTGGTCGTTTTAGATCGAGAGTTTTTGGTCTGGTTTACCAGAAACCTTGAGTGATCCCCAAGGTTCTTTGTGAGCCGCGACACTTGGGGCAGACTGACTGGTTCTTGGGACAAGGCTCTCCCTAAGCAGCAATACTTGGTGCAGACTTACTTGACTGGTCCTCTTGTGGGCATACATTGCACTAGGTCGCCATGACCACCACTGATGTCACCCATGTGATTTTAAGCAATATCCACATGAAATTTTAAGCCACTGTTCATGCCATGTGTATCTTAATGAGGAAAACATATCTGTTGAGCGTGATCTACAGAATATTAACTAGAATATTGATGTAGATATTTGTCATGGTGACTCGGTGTAAGCAAAAAGGCTGTTTTAGTAGAGTGCAGCGTGCTTTTAGTAATAAAAATAACCTTAAGAATCATTGATAGTCACCTTATCACATCAGGTATGTTGTCACCTTTGAGGATCACTATGACCATGCTCCTCCTGTCGGACCTGGCCTGGTGACACATCTAGATGCACAAATTTTATAGATTAAAGTAGAATAAAATTTAACATATAGCCTTAACATGTCAAATTTTACATTGACTTGTCATTTCTTTTGTATAATGGCACGACACAGTGCATTTTAATAATGCATAGAATAGGATTATATGTCAGATAGAGAAATTAAAGTTGATCATATTAAGGAAAACAGTAACTTAAGTATATTTTTCCAAAACGGTCTGTTCCAACATAATGACCAATTTAAATTCACAAAAGTTTACAGGCTAATTTTTTTTTTCAAATGTGATTGTCAATACATGTTACTTGTCAGTAATTTAACACATTGACACATGGGTATGCTAACTGTATTTACTATAAACATTTTACCTAAAAATTGCAAGCTATATGGGCAAACATATAACAGGAACTAAATTGACTGCCATGACACCCTTTAACTCCCATGAGTGACCTACCCAGGTAAAAATATAAGGTGGGATCCCGCCAATCCCACCTGGGATCCCAGGTGTGTCCCAGGTGGGATCCCGCCTTTTTCAGGTGGGATCCCGGGTGGGATTATGGAACATCCCGCATGGGATCCCACCTGGGATTATGGAACATCCCGCATGGGATCCCGGGTGGGATTATGGAACATCCCGCATGGGATCCCGGGTGGGATTATGGAACATCCCGCATGGGATCCCACCTGGGATTATGGAACATCCCGCATGGGATCCCACCTGGGATTATGGAACATCCCGCATGGGATCCCACCTGGGATTATGGAACATCCCGCATGGGATCCCACCTGGGATTATGGAACATCTTGCATGGGATCCCACCTGGGATTATGGAACATCCCACATGGGATCCCACTTGGGATTATGGAACATCCTGCATGGGATCCCACATGGGATCCCGCCCATTGAAGTTGGGATCCCACCTTAAATTCCTAATAGCATCCCACCTGGGAAAGCATATCCTGGGCGGGATTAAACCTAGAATCCCACCAATCCCTCTTGGGATCCTGCCTCAAATTTCAGATAGTTTACCACCTGGGAAATCATATCCTAGGCGGGATTGCATCTGGGATCCTGCTAATCCCAGTTTAGACCCTGCATAAAATTACAGATGGCTTCCCACTTTCAGAAAAATCCTTTAAGGGATCCTGTTTATCACTGGAGACCACAGATTTATGAAATGTACCAGATAGGATATCTTAAAATTAAGAGGATAAAATTTTCTAGGTGAGCTATAGACCCCATCAATCCACTGAGGGTCCAAAACTTTCCAACTAGCTATAGAACATACTGACACCTCCAATGGGATCCCATTGTGTTACCAAACTGTTGATCATAAATGATTCAAACAGTACATGAATACACAGACTATATGTGATAAAGATCTCATAATTTATTTGCAATGAACCAGCATGTGTTTGACTTGTTTCATTAACAAATTTCTTAACCGAACATTCTTAAAGAATAACAGCACAACTCAGCATATTACTTTTTCTTCATCATTTAAGCAGACCATCTACAGTGTAATAAGGCTCAACGTTTAAAAAAATTGGCTGTTGTGTATCAAAGAATAAAAGAAAGACAAAACCTCAATAATTCATGTTATCAAAATTTTGACAAAGGTAATGATTGAAAGTCTGCTCTCTCTTCAGTCGAATTTTTCAAAGCAAAGCAAGGTCAGAATGTTCCCAAATGTGACTAAAGTAATCTTGAAACCTTACTCATAGATTTATTTCATTGTAAAGTGTAAGCTTAGGAAACTGCAGCATGCAAGCGACCAATTTGATTCTCAGAATTATTTGAGTTTCAGTTGCGCTGAGCGTTAGGTAAGCTTAATTCAAGCCGTTATTTCTATTCTTTGATAAGATTTTGATCACGTAACGAATATGGCAATTTGTACTCACCACAAACTTCTAAAAATCCTAGCTTTAAATGGCCACTCGATCGTTGTTTGAACCAGTCGATATGTCAACTGTTAATTGTCCCTTCTTTTAAGTTCACGGCGCCAACGACTTTCTTTTCATTTAAAACACTCACGCTGTTCTCGTTTTCCCATTAAACCACAATAAAACCAATCTTTAGAAGTGTTATATTAAGCAAAACAGTTGGGAAAAGAAACAACTTGAAGCAAGAGCGGTTAACCGATGAAAAGTACATTCAAAGATGAGCGCCAAATGGAGTTTTCTTTGTTTCCGATCACGGGCATGATCACGTGGACCTTTTAGCAAAGAGAATCCGCTGGCTTGACCCATTGCAGTCTCAAGAGAAGCGCGCAACATTATTCTGTGTCTTCTGACCGGTTCTCCTCTCTTAGATGGTGGATACCTTGGATTCATGTTTTGATGATGACATAAATAATGATGTGAATTCACTCTATGTAGAAATAATCGACAAGAATCGAACAAGAATGCACGATTTGTGGCCGAAAGTTTTCGAGGAAAGAAAGACTCGAAACCCACTTGAGTTATATTCACGGCGAAGGTGAGAAACAACACATGCCAATCACATTAGGAAGTATAAGAGATACCTAGATGATCCCAGTGTACCAGTACCCAAATCAACAAGGCTTGACCACAACAAGCGTTCAGCAACACGTTCCAACACAGCTAGCCATCTCGATTCCTCAGTCGGTCTTTCCAGTGAACTAGCAGTGGTGCCAACAGAGTCAAGTGCGTCTCATAACGGAGAAAACATTTGCACGAGAGACAGAAGCAACTACATGCGATTACATAGGTGCATTGGAATTCTCGTCTACAAATGGTTATGCACAGTCCGAAGCGTTACCGAGCTTGGAAAGGGGTCATTTTATACTACAAGTAAAATTTTATACCAGACCTACAAGGTATAGAAAAATTTTGTTGATCGCTGACTCAGAGAAGAACAACAAGTAAACTTTAAAGCTGTTATTATCGAACTGTGACTTGTCTTTTCATTTGTATGTAAAGAAGGAATTGTATTTTGCACCAAAAATATAAAGAAGTAATATTTTTTAGGAGGTCCAGTGATTGGGACATTTAAGAAATTAAGTTTTGAAAAGAAACTCGGTTTGTACTTCTCACTACTAAGAAGTCTTGTTTTAAAAATATTTTCAGATCAGAGTTTCAAATAAAGCAAATTGAAGAAGTAATTTCAAAGGTGTATTTTCTCAAAGGGAACAGTGACCACCTCTGTCTTGTCCGCATGCCAAATATTTGCAGAGTGTGTGGATGATCCATAAGTATTGGAACTCTCACAAAAACGTTTTGTAAGAATAAAAACAGCAAAACAATATTTTTGTAGGTGGGATAAAGAATCCCAGGTGGGATATGTAAATCCCAACCAGGATCCCGGGTAGAATGCATAAGTCCCACCTAAGATCCCGGGTGGGATGCAGGAATCCCGCATTAAATGCGGGATCCCAGGTGGGATCAAATTTTCATCCCAGGTGGGAAAGGTGGGATCCCACCACCTAAGGCGGGATCCCGCCATTCCCACCTGGGATCCTGGGTGGGATTGCCGGGATCCCGCCTATATCCCGCCTGACATTTTACCTGGGTAGACAGAATTTATTCTTACAATATCAACACAGCATCAACCAGATAAGTGATGAGAATAAAGAAAAATATCAATTTGGGAATAATTAGTTGATCCAATACTAAATTCCCTGAAATAACATGACAAGGATTGTATGGTTGACAGTAAGGAGAATTACAAATTTGGTCTGAGAGTTAAAGAGTTAACACAAACCTCCTCATATGTCAAGGTCAAAAAGATTGGCAGAAGAATGTCCTCGTGGGTTGATGCTGCCTCCATGAGCACATGTTCACAGGAAAGCACTTCCTTTGTTCTGTCCATATCATTCAATGGCACTACAAAATTATTATGAGTGTGGTTTACAAACAGTAATGGTATTCAATTGAACTGTCATCCATTAAGGATGTTTGTGCCAGAATCTTCCCCCCAGCTTTTCTTTTTTTAAACTTTTGTTGTAGTTTGCTTATGGCCAACTAATGCCAAGAGTGTGTGAATGAAAGTAAAGGTATCTATTTCTCCTTTTTTCTTTTCACTAATAGTAAAATGCAATTGCACATGTTACTCATTAAAAGATAATCACCGTTTATATTGGTTTTGTTTTGTTTTGTTTTTGTTTTGTTTTTCCTTTTACCTAATGAAGGGCAAAAAAATTTTAGTTTTGGATTTGAATTCCTGTTTTGTCTGTACTTAAACAGTTAATCTACCAGTGCTTATAGTCTACAGTGAAATGTAAACTGGGGATTAATAAAAGCTTTTTCAAAATATATTTAGCTGAAAATATGAAACAGATAGCAACATAAGATATAAGGAAGCCTCAGTCATGCATTTTAAGCTAGAATGCTGCTTTTGGCAAGATATTATTTTGTATCTAGTGGAAATTTTTCTATTGTCATCATCCAGGGAGAGCCGTGCATTAAAGTGCATTGAATTATTGACAATATTTCCAACATACCTTGAGCATTCTGATTGAGAATTCCCAAAGAACTTTTGTCTTCTTTTACAATCCCAGCTGAAATGAAGTGGCATAAAATTAAGTGAATATCAAGACATTAGTTATTGTGCATTCCTTTATGCCATGAAACTGAATGAGTGAGTCAATCTGTCAGTCTATATCACACCATACTGTAGCATAGTAGAATGTTCTATTCTCCATTTACATGAGACACAGTTGTTCATCTCTTGAATTTTGATTAACACATTAAGTAATTAAAATTATGTTGAAGTTAATTCAACATTTGTTTTTCAAAGTGTATGTGTTTTATAATCCATTTTATAGAAACGTACCTTTTTGCCACTGATGTATGCCAGTTAAATGACATGCTATGTTGAAAGGGAAAAAAAATCATGGAGTAAAAATTTTGTCTTTTTGTAAAAATTAATTTCTTTCATTTCTCACATAAATTTGGTCGATTTACTTCACACCTCATGTGTAAACTTGGCTTGGCCTAGGGTGCACAATTAAGTTGCCTCTTAAATGGTAATTTATGATACAATCGGAAATCATCCATGTAAACTACTTGCAGTAATAAACTAGATTTCTAGCATAATATACATGCAGTTTTCAGAAAATATCCATTGCCACCCTAGGGATTAATCCAAATCAGGATTGGGGTTGGGGTCTGCAAAAAAACGAGCATTTAAATGTTCTTTAATCAGTCATCATCATATTACCTGAGTCAACATTTACTGGGTTACTAGCTAAATAGCTTCTGTCGAGTTCATTGTCATTGACATCATCTAAAGCAATGACACCATCTGTTCAAAAAACAACACAACACAGTTTCAGGTGTATCACACGATAATTATCTACGGCAGATGGGTCAACTGCTTCCACACAAGATGCAAATACAGGATTAAAATATAAATCATTAATAAACTTAATAACTAATGTGCCAATCAATTAAGCACTTACATTCACTTGTAGGCAATGTCAAGTCCACCAGACCAACAACACCACTTGCCGCACTTGTTTCACCACTTGTTGCACCACTGGAAGTCTCTGGCTGGATGACTGAATTGGTCACACTTGTTTGAGATTGGCTGGGATTTTGGTGAGTGGTAGATTGTCGAGAAGGCAAGGGAGGGTTGGAATTAGGTTGAGCAGGGGGAAGGGAGGGTTGGAAATGGTTTGTGGAGGGCGGGTTGGAATTGGGCTGAGCAGAGGGGAGGGAGGGTTGGGATTGGTTTGTGGAGGGTGGGTTGGAATCAGGCTGAACAGGGGGAAGGGAAGGTTGGGATTGGTTTGTGGAGGGTGGGTTGGAATTGGGCTGAGCAGGAGGAGGGGAGAGTTGGGATTGGCTTGTTGAGGGATGGAGGGAAGCAACATCAAAATTAGGATTTGTTTGAAGAGATGGAGAAGGATGGTTGGGATTGCTTACTCCTGGTGTTGGTATAGACTGAGGGTTAGTGTTAGATCCTGAGATAAAAAAGAAAACAAATAATTTTTAATTAGTGTTTTGAATTATTAGTGAAATAGTGGAAATATGAGCTTATTTCAAGTTTTCCTTTGATAAATCTATGACATAAATATTGAAAATTTTGAAAGGCAAGGAACCTTCTTAAACTTGTAGTGCGATCTATGGTAATAAAAATAAAAAAGGATTAATATTTAAAAGTCATAATATCAAGATTTAAATTTCTCAGCAGAATAATTGGGTTATGTTGTTGCAAATGTCTGCCAAAGAATATTTTCTTTTTTTAAGTGTGGTGAAAATGCATTCCCACTTTCAGGAGGCTATTATTTCCAAAATGTACATGTTCCACTTTTTTTGTATAAGTGTGTAATTGAAATTCTAACAGATATTTTTCGATCACTTTCGATTCGTTATTTTCAATTATTCAAATGAATGTCATTCGTTGACTATAAATTTTTTGTACTAAGTACAAGTTTCTGCAGGCCAAGGAGGAGAGACAAAGCCTGAGACTAAAGAGCTAGCTGAGGAAGGTAAATAGAATGATTTTTTTCTTGAACTGTACATTGTGCGAAGTTTCCTTTATTTCCGCATATAGTGGAAGTCACCTTTTCTTGAACTTATCTGCCATCTGGGCCAATTTCCTGGCTTACTCACAAAGTGACAGTGAGGGCAAGTCTATTGCTTTATATACGTCAGTCTTAAGGTCCTTATACTTCATCATAATTAATAACTTTGCTATCACACAGCTAAAAAATCTGTGGAGCAGGTGGAGAGTGAAGAGATTCCAAGGGCAAGTGACAAAGGTAAAGGAGAGGGTAGCTTTAATTGGTCACTCAAGAGATTAAGGAGGTTATGGAAACATATCTTTCACCTTAGTAGTCACTGAAAAAAAGAAACCAAAAAAATATTTCATGAAATGCTTCAGTAAAAACAAGATTGAATGGCTGAGTACTAATGTATCTTTTATCAAACACATTGTCTTCTGGAGAAGACGGAAGAGGGCACCAGCTTTGCCTCGTTCAATTTCGGCTCTCTGCGTCAGTCGAGTTAAATTTCAAGGGCATTTACGTGTAGGCGTTGTATACGCACTTATTCAGTATCTGAAGCAACAGAGACAAAAGTGATTGATGAATTGGTGGCAAACGTTGACCTTCGTCAATTGCAATACTTCAAATGAACATCATTTAATAGGTACAATATGTTCTAATTCAATTTCTTCAGAAGGAGAGAAAAAGCTTGAGACAGAAGAGCTAACTAAGGAAGGTAAATACAACGATTCATTTTTTTTTTAAGAACTATACATTATTTACCAAAACTTTCACCTAGTTATTTTTGCATACTATACAAGCTTTATTATTATTATCATGATTATTATCATTTATGTATTTTTTATAAATTTAAAGCTAACTGGGCCAATTTACTGATTTAATAGAAGAGGCATGGGCCGAGTTTACCATCTAGACAACTTTATATATTTATGTACTTTACCTCATTCTAATAAATAACTTTGCTATCACACAGCTGGAAAATCTGAGGAGAAAGTGGAGAGTGAAGAAATTCTAATACCTAGTGATGAAGGTAAAGGAGAGGGAGGGTTTTTTGTTTCTCACTCAAGAGGTTAAGGCACCAGATTAGTTATTGAGGCATATCTTTCATCTTGGTAGCCAATGAAAAATGAATGATTCGTAAACATGCTGAAGTAAAGGAAAAAGAAATAAATTGAAAGACTGAGTTCTAATTCACTTTTTGTTCAATTAATCATCTTTTATAAAAGCTCAAAAGGCAGAAGAAGAAAAGAAGCGGCTTGAGCCTGACATGGAGGACACAGAGAAAGGTAGAATTCTTTATAACTCAGCCAACATAGACTCGAAGTGGTCATGAATTAACACATAATCTGTCCACGCTATTGTCTGAGGAAAGTTGAAACACGGCGGTCCACATCAGAAGTGATTGAATTAAGAGAAAAGAGGAATACTCGAGTACATTGTACTTCGTCACAGTGAACGGCCAAGACCTGACTTGCAATACTGACACTAAATATGGCACCTTTGAATCTTCCAGAGCTCTCTCACTTTTTGTAACATTTCTTAGCTATAAAGATGTTTGCTTAGATGGAGGAAACATAGCTGCCACGTGGTAAAGCTAATTAATTAGAAGCGAGGCTTATGACGTCGTGAACCTCAACTTTTAAAACTCTTTAACACAGACAAGTTAGAATTGTGTTAGCAATAATAACTTCTGATTAAGTAGCTTAATATATATATTTTTCTCTTTTCGTGTTCCAAGAAGGGGAAGAAGAGGTTTTTGATACCAGACTTTAGTTCTTGCTTTTCGAACCAAGGTAAATGTTTGTTGTGTCTTCTTCAATAGTAACTACCACTGACTGAAGGGTGCGGAAAACCTTTAAAAAAACTGGGCATTTTTTGATATCTTATCAAACTTATGAAACCAATTTCAGATTTGAGATGAAGGGTGAAATTTTCGTACTTTTGCTCTGATGCATTTCTGTGTACATGCATGGGCTGTTGACTCCTAATTTCTTGAACCTTCAGTTCAGTTGAACCTCTTCATAATCTGAATAATACTGTCTGGTCAACGGACCAACTGGTGAGCTGGCCACTACGCTGTCAGATTACATTAACTGATTAACCTGACAGACAGATGGTATAACTATCTGCTTGAATTTCTGCCTGACTCTCTGCCTGACTGTTTCCCTTGCTGTGGGCATGGCAATAAACTGATTCACTTTCTAGCTGCCTACTGAGTCAGAAGCCTGAACCAGTTTACCGACTGACGGTTGGCTGATCAAGCAAACAAATTATTAATACACAGGTTTTGCAATAAATAAATCAATGTGCTTTTACTCCTTCCATTACTAAAGAGACCGTGAAGACTGAAGAGGAGAATTCAAGAATTCAAGAAGAAATGGAATTGTAGTAATCATTATGTAGTATCTCTGGAAGTATCTTAGTCAAAACAATCCTTTTTGTTTATTTTCCCTTCGATACTAAGTTAGTTAGCCGAACTATAGATTACAAAACATGCTATAGAACATATTGGGTGCTATCTCTGAATGGGCGTGTAATCACAGTTCTGTCTTCATTTCCGTTTGATTTTGTCTGTTTTCTTTTTAATGTTTATTTTTTGTTTGTTTATTTTATTTAATTTTTGTGTGTATATATGTGTTGACTTTGACAAGTTGAACTACCTGTTAGTGTTTTTCTTTTAGCATATTTCAAAATTGCATGTTTTAGCGATTAATAGCTCATTTCTAGGTTCTTTAATCTAAAAGAAAACAAAGCATTTACTGTTTAACATCTCACATCGTTAATATCTAATAATATCCTGATGATCGAAATAGTTAATTTCATAAAACTCCTTGACTCGTTTACGAGAATTTTATTCAGTAAGAGTTACAGTAACGGTTATTTGAGGCTTCAGATTATATTAAAGAACTCAGAAAATTTTACGGCCTGGGCCTTAGTTCTGAGAGACTCTGCATGATCATAACAACTATATAAATACCCCAGTTCCACAGCTAAATATCGATATCTTTTTTTTTGTTTGTTTTTTTTTTTCTATTTCATCACTATCTCTCAAAGAAGAAAATTAAAGATGTAACAAAAGAATAGTTAACATTTTATTGGATGAGAAGTCATTAATCAGTTCTTTGGCAGTTTATTAAGTTACCCGAGTAGTAATCTAAATAGTTGATTTTTAGAATTTCTATAACTCCTTTTCGAGCATTATAATACAACCTAGATGTAAAGTGACGTTTTTTTTCGTGATTTTAGGACGTTTATTGCGAGTGCAGATTTATCAAATAACTTATAAAAACGTTTAGGTATGCCAGGGAATTTAGTGATTCAATAAAAATTATAATAGTTTATTTTCAGAACTCGCTTGTGAGAATTTTGCACCCAGACTACGCTTCAAAAAAAAAAAAATACAAGACATTGCTTATTAGTGGTCTTGAAGTTTATCAATAAGCTAGGTAGCCATTTAATAGAATTTTCATAACTCCTTTGCGAGCGTTATAATCATTAGGACTTAAAGTGATGTCAATATAGATCATGCTTACATTACTGATAATTCACTCAAAATAAAAAAAAGTAATGAAAAGGTCTAAGAATATCACTAAATTAGTTATTTGGTAGTGAGTTGAAGTCTAATTTGTAGTTAATTTCTAGATTGTTTAACTCATTTTGAGAATTCTAATTCATTGTAGAACGTGATATTCAAATAACTTCGTGATTTGGCTCAAACGTCCTCATCAAACATGGCTTTTACAGTAAGGATAATTTGAACACGAACGTGCCTTCTAGAGGAACATGGCACAGAGCAAAGAAAATTGTAACAAGTGTAAAAGTTGTCAATAAGCGCACCATGTTTACTGTAAGTCAGAGCCTTCAATAAAACACCTTTTAGACCTTATGCTTGATTCTGATGTCTATAAACCTAAGAAAAGTTGTAAAGTCTGGCTTGGGCTTCATCGGCAGCGTTGTTGATTAGTGACTGGTCATAATTGCCCTTCCTTCTCTCCAGAAACGAGGCATGAACTTATGTCTTCAAATTAGCCAGTGAGATACTGCAAATGCGACATAATGTCAGCGTCGAGGGGGGAGGGAGAGAGAGCACTCAGGAAATATTAAGGTGATTTAGGAAGAGGACGGTAACGTCAGTCAACAACTGCGCGCTCAGCAAAAACAGCGACAGAGAAACTAGGTCGATAACTTCTCGCCGTTATGTTTTATAAATGAATTAGCAGTCGTTTAACCATCCTGTAGTTTGGCTCTGAAATGTTCATACAGATTTGAATAGCATAACCTGTCAGAACTCAAATATGCATGAAATAGCAGAAGCCAAATTTTTAAAAAAGAGTTTGTCATTAAAATGTTAAGCGAGCGCTAATCAAATTATGATTGTTGTTGTTGACGTCTTGCGTCACGAGAAGGTAAAATTTGTCAAATTCTGGCTTTTTGAAATGTTTAGAGTATCAATCGGTGTAGTCTAAAAGCTCTGTCCTACTATCTTTTCAACTTAAAATAACGTAACTTACAGTGATAAGTGAAAAAGCCTAAAGTCGGTATAAGAGAGGTGTAAATTTCTTGTAAAAGGTTGGTGAAATGGTGCTTGGCATTTGATACTATATCCTTTGACATCTGATTGGCGATAATCTTCGTTTTACAGACGTGGACGAGTGTCAGTCAGGATCTCATTCCTGTCATGCACAAGCTCAGTGCGTGAACATACAAGGCTCCTACGAATGTAGATGTTTATCCGGATATTTGGGGGATGGTCGTGCCACACGTGCAGGTAATTTTGAGATAAATCATGCTAGAACGCATCACACTACTGTATTCTGTAGCCGTCGTCACAGACTAGAAATAATGAGCTTTGAAAGCCTTTCATCAATAGACGCCCCTCTTTTAATGATAACTTCTAAAACCTGATCAGAGAGCGCGGTCATTCTGAGCGGCTGCTTTGGGCAATACCACGTTCAAACTGATGGGGTGGCATTTCTTATATAAGCTGTCAAAAACGCTTTCAATGAAAGCATCTGAATCCTTCCCAGTCATCTCCAAATCAGGGGTGCTTGAGTGGGAGGAGACAAAAAAAGGAAAAACATCCACAACAACAAAACCAACACAAATCATTAACAAAACAAGAAACAGTCAAACAAGATAACAACAAAACATCAAAAAAAGGTACTGACAGCTA